TTCTTCCTTACATTCATAAATCAAATACCAAAATCAAAGATAGAATTATGGATAATAATTAAATTCGAGTAAAGAACATTTATCCAATCCAAGTGGGTGAAAATAGCCTAACAAATCGCCTCAATTCAAGCTCCCAATCTCAAAATATGATAAAATAAGCTCAAAGTCTCGAAAATGATAACATATAAAATCTGCCTAGAAGTACCCTTCGCGATCACGAAAAACCTTCGCGATCGTGAAGAACAAAACAATGTTGCCCAGAAAATGAACTACACAGTTGCGTCTGAGCCCCACGATTACGAAAGCCAATCAAAAAACACATCATGAACACGAGCTCCTTCTCGCGAACATGGAAGCCAACATACGCCCAGCCTGCTCCGACTCCTTGCGAATATGATACCAGCCATGGAAATGCGAAGAACATAGCTCTAGCTCCCAACACACTTTGCGAACGTGTTACCCGAAGCACGAACACGACGCTCAATTCAAGCTGGCCAAAAGTCCCTCTCCGCGATTGTAATGCACTGCAAAATACCAGCACATCAGCTATGCAAAACTCAACCGAAATTGTCCGCAACTATCCCGAATCACACCCGATCCCTTCGGGACGCTGATAATAGGTGAATTGAACTATGATTAAGCCCCAAAAGAACCACTTTCTTGTAGAGTTTTTATTGTAAAAGTGATAGCAAAATGCTCTTATTAGTGCTTTTCATGTTTTTCAGGTTACATACATTAGAAGAAGGCTATAGAGTGGTTTTGTATCATTTATGGAAGAAAAAGAAGCCAATCGCATCAAAGTCGCCGAGTGAACCATTTGAAATACACAAACGAGGCCTGGAGGTGAACTGCCGCGGTCCCAGCGTGGGCGCGGTAGGACCACGGTGAGCTGTCAGAGGAGATTCAGAGAGGCCATTTGGCCGCGGTCCCAGCATGGGCGCGGTAGGACCGCGGCAGGCGACGAAAAATTGAAGGACCGAAGTGCAAATTCCGGAATTCTTAGCCCAAAACCCTATTTAAACAATAGAACTCGCCCAAGGGAGGCATGTAACATTATTAGAGAGTACTTTTGCAAGAAAAACAAGTGTGAGAGATCACCCAAAACATCATTATTTCTATTCTTCTTTATTTTCTTGCAATTTATGATTATGAATCTTTTAGTATTTGATTTACCCATTATCATGAGTAGCTAAAAACCTTAATCTAAGATTTTGGTGGAACCCGTTGGGAATAACTTGGTTGTTTTATTAATATAATTAGATTTGATTGTTAATCTCTAATTGTTCATCTATGTTTTGATTGTGGAATAGTTGAAAGGGCCCTCAATTATCCGTTCCTATTTATTATGTATCTTCTTGAGAGAGAGTGCATATTTAGGTGATTGTATGAACAATATCACTCCCGGAGTATAGACGAGAGTCATAACCGAGGGTTTAGGGGTTGGATTAGAGATAACGAAACCCCGCGTGCAATCTAAGTGAACCGTATTGTGCAAGTAGCTAGCGTAGCTTCAGAAAGTGCGTCTAGTAGATTATTATAATTACTTGAGAAAGAATTATGATATATGGAGAGTTCATGATTGTTAAAGATAGCTAAATCATAGTTATAGGACATATACAACCAAGGAAAGTACCAACGGGGGAAACCATTGCCTTAGACTTTATTTCTACTGTTTACACATCAAGTTTAGTTAATTTTCAGCTGTTAATTACTTTCAATCTTTAGTTGTTAGAAAATCAACCATTGTGAATCAAAAAGTTTGGGAAAACAGATTGTGTGAATTTAGTAAATCTGACAGTAGTGATTGATAGGTTAGTTCCCTGTGGTTCGACTCTGGACGCCGTCTGACAAGTTCAACTACAATATACAGACTTAACCAAAGTCTCGAAACACTATGAATAATATCAAAATAAATAATCGACGATCAAATCAAACTATTAAATTCAAGAACTTCAAACTTGTAAGTGTTCGATTTTAGCCCCAATCCGGAATCCAACCAAATTTAAGTTTCAAATGGAAAAATGAACATATTCCAACTTCTGAAACAACAATCTGACTCTGATAGCATTAAAGTCAACTCCCGGTCAAACTTATGAACTTTCTTAATCTTTAAATTGCCAAGTTTCGACAAATAGAGCTAAAATCTTCTAGGAACATCCAAATTCAAATCCAAACATACGCTCAAGTTCAAATCACCATACAAATCTATTAAAACCATCAAATCTCAATTTCGACGTCGTTTACTCAGAAGTCAAACATTGGTCAACTCTCCCAACTTGTAGCTTTTAAATTGAGAATCATTCTATCAAATCAATTCCAAACCCCGCGAACACCAAAACCAACTATATAAACAAGTCACAATACATCATATGAAGCAACTCAAGGTCTTAAATCGCCAAACAAAATACTAAAGTTCAAAAACACTGGTCAAGTCATTACATTCTCCCGCACTTAAACGTACGGTCGTCCTCGAACATGCCAAGAGTCGTCCAAAGCCGTCAAATGACTGCACAAGCTCATCATACACACACACGTCAGCGATCTCATTCCATCTCAATCCATATAATTAACACAATTCAACGGGGATTCTTCCTTCAACCTTAGCTTACAATCCTCCATATTCCAACAACTGGCTCCCACTTAGATTCGGTTCTTGCATGCACACACTATATCAATCTCAACAAATTGTAGCAAACCACGATTATATTCCCAAGATATAATCACACGATGTAACCTATCACTCAAATGCCCATAGCGATATCTTCTGACCACAATAGATGCTCATTACCAAACCTGGTACCAGTAATATCTCTTATAACAAATGAAACCTTGTTCCAAACCCTTTAAATGATGCAAATGATAAGGGAAACATGCAGAAACTCATAACCACTCGTAAAATCAATCAGTTATGGAAATTTGTTTCTCGGCAAGTACCATTGCCAAAATCTGAGTTGACTAGTCACATTCTACTTCAAAACACATCTTATCCAACTCTAATTGCACTATTTCCAGATCTCATAACCGCGTCTTAACTAGTGCAAGCCGCCCGACCGAAAAGCCATACCAAATGCTGTCTAGAACCGCAATACAATGCAATCTACGTCCAAACAAGCAACAACCCAAATGTAGTAAATAACGAAAAGAGAACCAAATTAGTTGATTGTCTAACAAGCCTGACAGATTCAATCACAAAAGCACATGCTATGAATCCATCCCACAACATAGAAACCAAACACACGGAGCAAGCACCAGAAGTCATATACAGACATAACACTATTGCAGTGAGCAACCCAATCCAATCATCATACCTCTCCATAAGGGAATACTCATTGAGCCATAATCCTCATGCTCACTAACTGCAGGAATATCAACAATCAGCACATAACGTGCATAATCATAACCATGAGAGAGAAATAGCATACACTCTACGGAAATGGTAAGAACAATTGAGGTGCAATAAGTGAATAAATATCTCAAGACCCATCTTGCTAATTTAGTTCCACGAGGCCTAAACAGAACCACAATATGCGGGTAAATATTCAAGTAGCCTCATATAACGACCCAGTCAGTCATTTCGTATAATGTAGCTATGATCCCCTAATAATCACTTCTTCTTTTTTTGTGGTTAGGTGACTTTCCGGGGTGGTTGGATTGATTCCGGAGAAATTTTAGAATGAATTGGGAAATTTAGTCCCAAGGTTAGAAGCTTATGTTCAAAGAGTTTATTTGAGTTTGACTTTTATGTAGACGACCCCGGAATGACATTTTTGATGGTTTTGATAGCTTCGTATGGTGATTCTGGATTTAGGCGTATGCCTGAATATTGATTTAGAGGTCCTTAGGTTGTCTTGGCTTGAATTGGCGAAAGTTGGAAAGTTGAAGGTTTGGAAGGTTGAGAGGTTTGACCGAGTGTTGACTTTGTTGATATCAGGTTCGGATTTTGGTACCGAGAGTTAGAATAGGTCCGTTGTATTATTTATGACTTGTGTGAAATATTTTAGGCCAATCGGAGTTGGTTTGATATGATTCGGCATTAGTTTTAGAAATTGGAAGTTCATTAGTTCATTAGGCTTGAATTGGGGTGTGATTCATGATTTTAATATTGTTTTGATGTGATTTGAGGCTTCATCTAAATTTATATCGTGTTTTAGGACCTGTTGGTATGTTTGGATGGAGTCCCGGAAGCCTCGGGTGTGATTCGAATCAAGTTCGACTTCATTTTGGACTTTGTTGGACTGCTCAAACTGTGCATCTGGTGCTAAGATTAAGAACAAAGAGATCCACAGAAAAATTCCTACTAATAATAACACAAACCAAGAAAATAAAAGCGGTAGGATAGATTAATAGTTGTCTTCCTCAAAATTTTCAAGTATAATATCTAAAAAATAGATGAATCACCAATCTATGCTTATGAAGATAGATCCAGAACACAAAATAGTGAAAAGTTCATTAATTTCAGAGTTTTCTGTTGAAATTACCAATTTTTTTAAGCTCACACAGTCATGCTTAATTCATCATTGAACAAGCTTAAATAGCTCCTTAAACTATGTATGACTAATTAACTAACCATAAAAATAAGAGAATAGAACATGTGAACATATTAAAACCAGTGTGATTTTCTGTTTAGCTCCCTTCCTAAGGAGTGTTTTATCAATACACTTTGTATTGCCTTGAAATTTGTTGTTATGTCAAAACGCTACCAGAATACTAAAAGGAAGATGGCCCCTAAAAAACTGTCAATGATATTCGAACATATTTTGACTTATTTATAAATAGAATCGTTGGCTATAGTTGGTATATTCTCATAAAAAGAAAGAAAATATCTGAAGTTCCTCAAGTCAAAAAATTTTAAAACCATCTTGAGTTGCAATCTTATAGTATCACCACACAAGCAAAATATATCACTTATAATTTTAATCACACAACCTGCTTTATGTTGCTAAAAGAATGATAATCATTTTATTAAAAGGAAATATCATTACAACTGCATGACCATCAAACCTTACAACATTAGCTTGGGAGGTTGACAATAAAAAGGGGACAAAAAACACAGAGACGAAAAGAAAGGAAAACAGTAATAGTACTTGTATAACTCTAGAGGAGTGTCATGAGTAACTTATGAAGCTCTTGAAGCAAAATAAAATAAATATCTAACCTTACATCTCATATCTTGAATATAGCCACTGAAGTCCGTGTTTCAAGGATCCATAAGGGTGAATCTGAAGATGTGCAGCAGTCGTATTCTAAAGCATCTGCAGCCTGTATTAGAAGTTTATACTTGACGACTCCATAAATGTGAAAACTATTCGCAACTCCACAGCATCGCAAAAAAAAGGTGTGAAGGGCTTGTCTTTTATATCATAATATCTTTTGATAGAGTGTTGGATAAGAATAAGTATAAAGTTTATGCAAATACAAAGATATCTTTTTATTCAATATTGTAGCTACCGCTTCAATTTAAACCTATCAATATCTTACAGTTTGCTAAGAAGGACAGGACCTTAAGTCAAAGCAATAGTCTTTTATTTCACTTGTAAAAAAATACCTATTGCTTTTGTGAGCAAAAGACCATATATGAAGATGCAGCAACTAATTGAATATGAAGCAACTAACATTAACTAATTAGAATATCTATAAATCCGTTTCTGTAAGGCAGTTTGCATTTCCACAAGCTAGGGTAATGAACTAGGCACATGAATAATGTACAATCATAAATTTTGCATCAAGTGTCACACAACTCTACTTCTCTTAGATTGTTTGAACTATAATAAGTTTTTCTTATAGGAGGAAAGAAATGCAAGACTCTAACAGTTCATAGGCAGCTTGCTCTACTTGATCTTGCCAGTTTGCTTTGATTGGTCTTGCCAGCTCGCTTTAATTTGTCTTGCCGGTCAAATTTCTGACTGTTTGCTCCAACTCCAAGTACCACAATACACGTATGCTGATCTTGAATTAAGCATACACCACATTATTAAGCGATTGAAACTTTTATTTGCAAAATAAGCCAAGGATGCATGATTGTTTGAAAACTTTTAGCATTAGGTCTATTCTTTTTAAGGTAAATATTTCCCTTGGTTGTCAGGCCTCTCTTCTCCCCAACCATAGAACCGATGCTCTGCCCCTCCTCCACTTCTTTTCATTCTTTATATATTTTTTGTATCTCTAAGCAGGGGAAGGGGATAGCACCGGTCTTGACTTTAATACTATTCTTCTTTGAGTAGATGTCGGCATAACCACTGCTATTTCATCTGCAGCTCTTAATAATATAGAAGTCACACAAACTGGAGGACACAAATTGAAATTACCTTTTTTAGCATACACAGAAATAAGTAGCAAGTAGAGTGCCTTACAAAAAGCCCTATCTGTTATACAATTTCCTAACACAAATGAAATAAATCGGGTAAAAGACAAAGTAATTAAACCCTTATGAGTAACTCGCAGCGATTCAATATCTATTTATTTATTTAGCAAAACAAGAATTGTTTTGAGTAACATTCACCTGTAGTATAAAGTTGGTAATTTATAACAAATATACCATTATCTAATGCTTAGAGACGTGAACCGTGAAGCAAAGAGGAGTAAAACATTATAAATTCTACAGTCTTTTAGCTAAGAAAACGTAGGAAAGAAATGATGACCTTTTGTCACCCCGCTTTATGCTACTATGGAAAGGTATATTTGTACGCAAAAGTAACCGAAACTTCGACTTTTAACTTAAACTGTTTGTTTGCACTTTGAAACTGATATTTACCAATATGACCGACATGAGAATACAATTGAGCAATGAATTCACCATGTACAGTGTACTACTTTCTGATATCATTATAATAATAGAATTAATATGTAATAGTTTATCCAAATAAGAAGCCAAAATCTAATATTATTGCTTTAGGATGACTCAACTCCAGTGAATCAAATTGTTTAACCAACTGTGCAAAATGATATATATTGGAATGATGAGCATATATGATATCAAACGGTTTAAGGATATCTACTAAAAAAATATTGGTGAAACAAAATTGTATCAGACAATTTTTTTTTTGAATTCTTTTGTTAATGATATTTGAACGAAAAATGTCGCTCGATATAGTTGATGTGGAGTTATTGAATTGCTCAAAAGATAAAACAAACAAAATTGAAGCAAACAAAATTGAAGCCCAACTCCTTTGATTTATCAATAAAAGAACCTATAGGAAGTTAGCTTCACTGTCATAACCACAAATTTGAAAAAGACCCATAGTAAAATAATCAATTTATAACCAGGTACTCTCGACAAAATTGCATAATAATTGGAATTCATATATAGAAACCAAAATTATAAAAGTGAAGACTGAATCTAAGATACCCGTGAATGTATCCTCTTTTTGGAGATATCCAGATCTTGAATTCATTAACTTGCTTGGAGAACGTTTTCCTCCTACCCAATTTGGAAACTCTCAAATTGTCAGAAAATGATCTCACTGATTCTTTCCCCAAGTTTAAATGGTGGAGCAGTAGCCACCAACTGAGCTAGAAATACACATCCTTGAACTCCAATGATCTATAACAATAAGTAAATAGCAGAGAGATAACCATTACCTCTGTAAGAGAAGACATCGAAGAAAGCTAGATGAGGCCATGGGGGACTCTGAAGTTAGAACATACTAGATGAAGAATGTAAGCGAAATTTGAGAGGTACGAAAAACGTCGAAACTAAAGAGAAGTAAAATTAAGTAGGGTAGGGTAAGNTGTGGATTGGCTACACGTATTATGCAACCCTAATGGAACACGTGGCACCATATGATGTGACACATCAAGTTTCCATCACCTTCATAAGCATAAAATCTAACATGTAAACTAGTTAGTTGGCATGTCTTAGAGAAACAGAAAATAAAATCCACTGGGCCCCTACAGTAGTCATTAAAGGACATGGCCCCTACAGTCATTACCAAAATTCATCCAAGTCAAAGGCAAATGATTATTCAGGCCGATTTGACATGACCAGTGGACACGTGGGCCATACGTGTTCCTCACGTGGTGGAGTGATGCGAGAGTGCACTATTGAGTCTGTGTGGTGCAGCTGCAGCAGAAACCCACTTGTGAACCCCACTGTTGCCTGATTGTTTGGTTACAGGGTCGGGTCGTTCCTACTTCCTAGGGGTCTACATTTTTTCCGGATTCTGTCAATTAGGGGTGTTCATAAAAATTCGAAAAATAGAACCAAATCGAAAATCAAACCAAATTGAAACAAAAATCGATACTTTCTAGGTTTTGATTTGGTTTTGCTTTTGAATTTTAAGAACCGATCAAATTTGGTTTAGTTTTGGTTTTATTAAAAAAATTAACCTAAAAAAATTGAACCAAACCGACTATAAAAGTAGCTATTTAAATTTATTATTATACCTATATATGTGTATTTTTATATAAAGTTTCTAAAATTTTATGGTACATATTTGTCATTTTATATTTTTAATATAGTTCTTTGTTATTATAATAATCTAATTCCTTGCCTTTACATTCTAGTCTGATTGGTAGTTTTCTTTTGCTAAATACAAGAATTTATTTCATTTTAAAAATAATCAATTTTTAATTGAGTACTTAAATTATTCATCGCTATTTGATTCAATTATCATCAATATATCTTGGTAAATGATAGATTTCTCAAAGAGCAATTAATTTGATAGTGTTACATTGAAAATGTAGTCACTGGAATATACGTTTGGTAATGTATGTCTCATATTTAAGAAAATAACCGATAAATAATCGAACAACTGATAAAAAAGAATCAATAAAACCGACTTAATTGGTTTGGTTTGGTTCCAATATTTGAAAAATCTACTTACTTGGTTTGGTTTCTTTTAAGGAAAAAACTGACCCAAACCGAACCATGAACACCCCTACTGTCAATCAAACTTTAATTTTATGGATTTGGAGATTGTTTACCTCGAAAATATGAGTAACAATTAAATTTGATTTGTTGTTTAAAGATATGTGATTTAGTTCAATACCAATTAATAATCAAGAAATATAGAGTATAGATTAAAGAAATAAGTGAATCAAACTAGTGTTACTCAAGCAGTATCGACCTCGGGCTTAGTCGCCTCGAGATGAAGCAAGAACAATAAAGTAAGAACAGTAAAGAGAAAGGACAATTCTGATGAATAATGAGCAAGAAAGGTAAGATAGTATATTCTTCGCCAATGATTTGATCCTCTTTACAAATGATTGGGGTCCCCTTTATATAATAGGGGAACCCTAAATAAGGTACATTTCCATTTACATTAAGGAATATTATTGGGATAGTTGTCTAACCTCCTAGTACTGAATCGTACAATTCTATTACGGGGTTTGCACCATGACTTTGGGGACGTGGCAAGAATCTTGCTCATTCTATTACAAATCCATAACGGCATTATTTCGGGGTCGAGCATACTTGTTATTTATCGTACTTCGATCCTCGGGCATTGCATCCCATCATCGAGCTCGAGTCTGTTCCATCGAGCTCGAACTCGACCTTGCCTGAACTCGGGCTTAAGATGACTCCTCGAGCCCGGGAAATCGGTCACACCTGATTTTGACCATATACAGATAGTCCCCGCATTTCTTAAAGTAAGACGATAAGAAACAGTTTGATCTTCAATGTCCCAATGCCTTAATCATGATGTCACTCTCGTGATGTCAGCGGCTTGTAACGATCCGGCCAGTCGTTTTTGGAATTTATGCCCCGATCCCCTATTAACTGCTTTCCCCAAGTTTATTTCTGCTATTTTTGTTTGCCAGGATGTTCGGTTTTGAGTTTCGGAGAGTTTTGGGACACTTAGTCCCTAAATGAGAGCTTAAGTGATGGAAAACTGACCGTAGTCAGAACAGTGTGAAGATGGCCTCGGAACGGAAATCCGATAGTTCTGTTAGCTTCGTTAGGTGATTTTGGGGTTGGGAGCATGTTCGGAATGTGTTTTGGAGGTCCGTAGCTAATTTAGGCTTGAAATGCCGAAGTTTGAATTTTTGAAGTTTTCGGTCCAATAGTGAGATTTTGATCCGAGGGTCGGAATGGAATGCCGGAAGTTGCAGTAGTTCCATCATGTCATTTGGGATGTGTGTGCAAAATTTCAGGTCATTCAGACGTGTTTTGGTTAGGCTTTTGATTGAAAGCGTATTTTGACAAAATTTGAAGTTCTTAGGCTTAAATCCTTGATTAATTCGAGTTTCCGATGTTGTTTTAGGTGGTTTAAGGATTGGTACAAGTTTGAATGAGGTATTAGGTGTTTTTGTGCCTTTGGTTGAGGTCCCGGGAGCCTCGGGATGAATTCGGATGGCTAACGGAGGAAATTTTGGAGTTGAAGTTATGCAGCAGCTGTTCTTCTGGTATTTTTGCATCTGCGGTCTGGGAACCGCAGATGCGGAGCCGTAGAAGCGGCATAGAGGGCTGCAGAAGTGAAATTGGGATTTTCCTCAGCAACCACAGATGCAGTGAAATTTCCGCAGAAGCGGAACCGCTCCTGCGGTTAGGGGTCCGCAGATGCGGAAGATGATATTTTAATGAAAGTCGCAGATGCGACAAATGGTCTGCAGATACGGTCCCTTGACCGCAGATGCGGAAATCACTGGTCAGAAATATTGATTTCGAGGGTTTAGTTTCAAAAGTTAGAAAAATCAATTGGAGCTCGGGAGAGGGCGATTTTGAGAGGGATTTGAAGAGGAGATCATCGGGTAACGATTCTTTAACCCTTTCTACTTATATTCCATCAATCTTTAGTTAATTTCATCATTTGATTTAGGAAATTTGGTGTAAATTGGGGGAAAAGTCCTTAGACCTTTAAGAGAGGATTTGAAGGGTCATTTGGACTCCGATTTCAGTGTTCTTGTTATGTATAGACTCGTGAGAGTACGATGTTTTTGAAAATATAAATTTCACCCGATTCCGAGATGTTGGCCTGAGGGGCGTTTTGGTCATTTTTCATAATTTCGCGTATTAGCTTTGAATTAAATTGTAGAATCAGTTGCTTGAGATGTTATTTACGATATGCAATTGAATTGAATAGATTTGGGCCATTTGGAGTCGGATACTCGTGGCAAACGTGTGGTTTCGAGTTGATTTTGGAGCCGGTTCGAGGTAAGTGGCTTGTCTAACCTTGTGTGGGGGACTTTTTCCCCTTAGAATTGATTTTGTGGTAATTGAAATGCCTCGTGCGTGAGGTGACGAGCGCGCACTTGTGCTAACTGTTGGAAATCCGGTTTTTCCTTAAAAAAAATAGCCTTGAATTGTGTTCCTCTTTTCCTTGCTTACACTGTTTGGATATCTACTTGACTAAACTGCTTTATCTGTCTTAACTGCCTTAATTGTACTACGTGAACCATGCTAGGTTAGTATTACCTGCTTTATTCTGATATAAAATCGATTGAGTTGAATTTTGTTGTTGCTGTGTATTTAATTTGGGACTACGGAACGGTATTCCGGGAGATCCCCCTGCACTTTATTTTGGGACTACGGGACGGTATCCTGGGAGCTTGCCTGTATGTTTACTTTGGGACTACAAAATTGCATTCCGGGAGATCCCCCTGCATTTTATGAGTTGGACTACGGGGCTGCACCCGGGAGATTCCACTGGACATGATATTTATATTTGGGGACTACAGGACGGTATCCTGGGAGACCCCGGTTGTTATCTCGGACTTGAGTTATGTTCTTTTACTGTGTTCTGTTCGCTGTTGTAATATTTGTTGTTGCCCTTTATATCATGTGTTATTTAATTACATTGTCATTTCACACTGTTAACCTGTATTTTACTTATCCTCAGTAGGGCCCTGACCTTCCTCGTCACTACCCCACCGAGGTTAGACTTGGCACTTACTGAGTACCGCTGTGGTGTACTCATGCCCCTTCTGCGCATGTTTTTCATGTGCAGATCCAGGTACTTCTACCCAGGCGTATCATCCTTGAGGCAGGGAGCATTTGAGACTTCGAGGTACATCTGCCACGTCCGCAGACCGAAGAGTCTCCTTATTTACTCTATCTTTAGTGTTAGCCCTTCTATCGTACTATTGATGTAGACATTTCTGGAGATTAGAGTACTTTACTGAATTCCATTTAGCTTGCGTTCCCGTGAGTTTCCGGGTTTTGGGATAGTAATGTAGGATGCTGTGATGTGGAGTTGTATTTGCCGAGCGGCATTTTTATATACTATTTCTCCTTTAAATTGTTCAGTTTTGACTATTATTCCGTAAGTTAGTTATGTTTCTGCATTGTTGGGCTTACCTAGTTGTAGAGACTAGGCGCCATCACGACATGTTCACGGTGGGTGAACTGGGGTCGCGACACGGCTGAAGTGATTGAACAGTCGCTTCCGCATAGTTCCCAAGGTCATTAATTGGAGGCGGCCGATGGTCGGCTGTTTGGCTCCCCAACACGTTTGAGCGGTCTCTCTAAGTAGGCCAACTTTATGATTTTTGCAAACTTTACTTCTCAAATCACTCTTAAAATCCCTTCAACGCCTTCAACTTCTTTGAGTCCACTCTACTCCCAATTTTCTTTCAACACAACATCTACTCCTTCTCTTCTCTTGAACTTATAAACCACAATGGCTAAAACATCTAAAATTGTCCCTCAACAAGAAAAAGTTTCTTCATCATCGTGGTCGGCCAGGGGTAGAGCGGTGGTGCCA